ACTTTCGAAGATTATGGCAGACAATGAAGATTAGAGGAAAGAGCTTTAGGGTCTGTAACTGACTGATTTGGTCACTTTAAACAGACCACTTCACTTCTTTGCTCTTTATCATTTTTTCATTTTGGAGTTCGTATATTCAGTCTGCCACATTGAGCTGCATGTGGATACACCAGGTAGAAAGTTAGGTGACTGATACTGTGTTGTTGTTAAATGCTATGAGGTAGAGCTGACCCATAGCTGAACCTCCAGCCGGTTGTCAGAGGCTATAAATCAGACAGGAGACAATTATACATTTGTTCTCTCTCAGAACAGCTAGCGTACTTGAACCGCTTGCCTTTGGGTTGGCTGTGCAATTCTGTACCACCATTTGGCAACCAAAAATCTACTGTCACTCTTGGAAAAATAGTTAATTAAAAAACTATTTTTCTGGAGTAATAACAGAGATTCTGTGTGAATATTTCAGAAGTGTTTCAGTTTCACTTTTTCCTAATTTTTACTCAAAAATAAGCAATAGTAATATTTACATGTCATGTTGTTGTTAGGTCTGTTGAGAGCAACCGTAGTAACCCTGTGAACAACAGCTCTGAACTCTGTCCTATCCTCACACTTCCTGACACACCAGAGCCCACTGCAGCAGTCATGGTGTCAGTCCACCCATTTGAGGATTTTCCTCTCCTTTGCCAACCATCTGCCTTTCCAAGCATCATGTCTGTCTCTAAGTAATATCATCTCCTAGCAAAATGCCTAAAGTATGTGAGAGAAACTTTAATCATCTTTGCTTCTAAGGAGCACTCTAGCTGCATCTTCTCCAAGACATACTTTTTTGTTCTTTTGGCTTTCCATGGCATGTTCAGTACTCTTTTCCAACACCATATTTCAAATGCATCAATTCTTCTCTGTCATCCTTATTCATTGTCTGCCTCTCAGTTGCATAGCAAGTGATTGGAAAGACCATGGCCTGAATCAGGTACTTTATAGTCCCGAAAGTGACATCATATCTCTTCAATAATTTAGAGAGGTCCCAGACTTCAAGCTTTCCTAGTGCAACATGTGTCCTGATTTCCTGACTGCTGGTACCAGAAGTTTTGATTATGAACCTAAGTAAGGTACAGTTATTGACAATCTCAGTCTTTTCTTGACATCTGTCATACTGCCTATTGGTACAGTGGTAAGAATTTTTTTGTGTGTGTGACATTGAGATATAATCCTTAATGAAGGCTGTATTCTTTGTTTGCTCTTCTGCAACAAGTGCTTCAAGTTCTCCTCACTTTCAGCAAGAAAGGCTGTGTCATCTGCATAATATAGGTTATCAATGCATCTCCACTAATCTTCATGCCACATTCTTCTTCATTGAATTTATCTTTTTGAATAATTTGGTCAGCATCAGATTGAATAGTTAGGGAAAGAGAATACAACTCTAACTCACTACCTTCTTAATTTTAAACTATGTAATGTTCTCTTGCTCTGTTCGCACAGCAGCTTTTAGGTCTAGGTATGTTTCACCTATAGGCACAATTAAGTGCTCTAGCACTCCCATTCTTCTCAGTGTTAGCCATAACCTGTTATTATCCACACAGTCAAATGGCTCTGCATTGTCAAGCATAAATAGACATTCTTCTAGTACTTTACTTTCAGCTAGGATTTATCTGACATCGGCATTTATATCTCTGGTGCCATGGCCTCTTTTAAATACTGCTTGAACAGTTCCATATCTATGTATTGTTCTAACTGTTTTTGAAGGATCTTCAACAGTATTTTGCTCACATGTGATATTAATGATATTGTTCAATAGTTTCTACATTCTTTTGGATCACCTTTCTTGGGAATGGGAACAAATATGGACCACTTCCTATCCATTGGCCAGACAACTGTCCTCCACAAAAAGAAAAGGAAAAACTAAAATGTATGTCAGATGAGATTCTGAAAATTGGACTAGAGCATTGAGAAACCTAACAAAGAGAAAACTTGTCAAAGTAAAAGAGTTGAACAGAAAATTTCAAAAGGGCAGCTTGAGAGGACAAAGCAAAGTATTATAATGCTGAGAGCTAGAATTGGAGAATAAAAAGGGAAGAACTCTATATTTCTCAAGGTGAGAGAAATGAAAAGCAAATTTAACAATTGAGTTGCAATAATTGTTAAGATGCTATGGGCAATATGTTGAATTATCTAGGAAGCATCAAAAGGAGATGGAGGAAATACACAGAATCACTGTACCAAAAAGAATTGACTTACACTGAAAAATGTCAAGAAGTACCATATGGGTAGGAGACAATGGTAGTGAAGGAGGAAGTTGAAGCTGCCTTAAAGGCATTGACCAAAAATAAGGCTCCGGATGCAGCCCTGGATTTGCTTACCAGTTTATGGACGAAATTTGGAGGACTGCTGTCTGGCCAGCATGTCATATAAAACATGCTTTATACTTTCACCTTCTTAAATTATTATTTTGAGACAGTGATCTTCTTCTAAAGAGTTTATCTCATATATAGTGATTTTGTATTTTAATGACTGCTAACCTTATAGTAGTAGGTTTATATAATTTGAGATAACTGAAATCAGATTGGATTCTTTTTTTAAGATTACCAAATACAATTTGATAATCTTTTCCTCATACCTTACAGTTCATTTTAGGATTTAATTTTTCTATTTAGCTTGGCAGAAAGGTAATTAATATATGTTATGTTTAAATGTCTATGAGGAGAAGTGTGGCGTTAGGATTGGTGGACGATCTATCAACAATCTGCGTTATGCAGATGACACACCTCTGCTCGCTGAAACTGAGGAGGACCACATGCACTTACTGCAGAGGGTCAAGGACTGCAGCCTTCAATATGGACTGAGGCTCAATGTCCAGAAGACAAAAATTCTCACCACTGGATCAATCGGTAGCATCAGGATGGAT